ATGTTTTTACTTAGTTGTTTGTGATCCATTTAATTGTGTTATAACATGAGCTGGAGCTGTAGTTAAGGAATGTTTGATATCGGTGCAAAGAAATTGAGCATGCCGTTCAAGTTTAGTCCTACAACATGTTTTCAATTTCGGTGATATTTTTAATTGCGAGTGTAATCCCGATAGAAATCTTTTGATATCGGTGCAAAGAAATTGAGCTTAGTCCTACAACATGTTGAGCTTCAAGTTTAGTCCTACAACATGTTTTCAATTTCGGTGACCATAGTAATACTGCGTGTAATCCCGACCTTGAAATTTCAGCGGAGCGCACAGTAATTGAGTTCGATGACAAAATGATAAGACACCTGAAAAGGAAGCCTCACATTGGCTCGCTGGCACATAATTTTGAAAGCATTCTATGAAAATAATACAATAGAAAATTTGACTCCTAAAATGCAATGATGTGGGTACTTTTGCGACCTATCCTAAATTAAGAATGAATTACTATTGCATTTATAAAGTGAAATTAATTTCACTATTTTTTATCATACGAAGACAGTCGCGCATTCCAAAATATTCTCTTTACACAATTATTAAAGTATCAATCCCTTCATAACCGGCCAAATATTAACAGAAAGTAGAAGTTTGCATTATTTTATCTCTTATTATATTACTTAAGTACCATAAATTTCCTATCATCAAATTGTGCATTAAAGTTAATTTAATTCAAATTTATCATTACTTATTATAAATTATGATATTATTATAAATTGAATCGTAATCTTAATACAACTCTTAATAAAAGCAATATACAAACATAATTATAAGATGAAAAAGTATAACAAATATACATACATGTAAAATAATTATCCTGTAATAAATATTATACTACCGCGTGCACATGTAACTAAAAAACTAAACCAGATTTTCCAGTTTTTATACTCATTTTTTAAAATACAGGTAATTCAAATACTAAGACCTGCAAATATCTTGAAATAAATTATGTTTATTATAGTAGATAGGTACATATATTCATGTTGTTTTTAACCCAACATGAAACGAAAATTGTGCACAAGCCTTTGCTAAAATTTATGAAAACCCACACAAAATTTTTTATTCGACATAACAATATTATAACATAAATGCAAGTATAATTCGAATATGTGTATGTTCGCCTAAATAAGAGAGTACAAATACGAGTACGCAAGTATTATGTTAGCATCTATATAATGTATAGAGATAAATATATAAGTAGTACGAGTATTGTAAAATAAGATTTTGCAAGATCAACAGAACCTATATGTTTTCTTTCTTCGATAATATTGAGTTCATTGGGGTCGTTTTGCTCTTTATACGAATATCAAATATTGTGTGTTGTGGTTAAAATCGTGATTCAAAGAAAGAAAAAAATGAGAATAAGGAATAACAAAAAAAAAAAAAAATAAATATAATACAGGTTAAACATGCCATAAAATAAAGTGATTTTTAATTTTTTCTTCTCGTCTTTTCCTTTTCATTCTTTTAAATTTTCGATCTCGTATCTCGATCCCTTAATAATTGACAGTATTTTCTCAGTTTTTAGAAATATCAAGGTGATTCTGGATCATTTTTAAAAACAAAACGCATATACAAACAAGTATGCAAGTAATTGCTTGCCAAAATTGCATTATTTTAATACACACTTGTAAATCTAAATTGAATGAATTGGTAATTGTAGAGAGAAAAATCATGTACAAAGGAAAGATCACTGCAAGCAAAATTTTAAAAGAGAATCACTTATTTTTTTCTGATCAGGTAATTTGAATTATGTTTTAAGATCTTTTTTTATTTTGATGGTGTTTGACTTGCCCTTTTTGCTTATATTCTTCTTTTATTGTGCGTTCCACATCTTCAACAAAGGAATTATACAATTTTCATTTTAGACCTTTATTTTATGTTTATTCAAGTAAAAGTATTGAATTACAAATTTAAACAAAAGAATAATATAAAATACGATTTTGTGTTTGTTTCTCCTTTTCTTCATGATTTCATAAAAAAAAGAATTATTTAAAGAATCCGTTAAATTAAAACTTAAGGATCGTAAAAATAAGAAATATTAACAAGGTTATATCAAGGTTCTTCAGTGGATTGGAATGTTTTTAAGACGATAAAAGAGATCAAAATGGAAATTCTAGAATTTGATGTTCTTGTAATTCATAATTTAAAATATGAAACTTTTCATAATTTTCAGATCATTATAAATTTGTTCGAAATAATTGATGGCTTTGAATTATTTTGAATATCTCCGAATCTATTGAATGCAATGTAACAAATAAATAAATACGCCTAAAAATATGCAATTATGTTATAGAGTTAAAGATACTTTTCTAGAAAATCACGTGTACTTTAACTGATTCATAAGACTTTGTATTTCTGAATAAAACTTTAATCGTCGTGTTTTAAAACAACTTATGCTCTAGGAGAATAAATTGTTCACATTATTTGAGCCTTAATGTTCTACTGCAATCAACAACCGTTAGGTTTTAATTGCAGTAGAACATTATGATACTTTCTTTAATTTAAATCTAAAATTTATGATTTAAATTTTTATGTAGCTATTGTTTTCTTGATTTTGTTTTAGTTGCCTTCTGCACTGAATTACAAACTCTCCTTAAATATAGGTATATATATATTACATTTCCACTGTAACAACCTGCCTACACAATTTTTAATGAATTTTTATAGTCTATAAGTACATTTAAAAATAATATCCAGCTTTTTGCAAGGAAAAAACAAGAAAATAAAATAAAAACGAAAAATACATTAAAAAAAATTGCAAGTTGCCAATTTTCACTATGACGAATTTAAAACATTTATTTTTCTTTCCATTTTTGTTTTTAGGGAAGTTTACTGAAAGTCGCTCTTTCTCATTAGCTCAATCAACTCCAGTATTACTTATTTTATCTACTCTTTTTAATTTTTTTTTCTCCTTCACCAATTTTCAATTCTCTCTCAATCTTTTAGTCAACAAATTTTGTACGCCGGTTCTCTTCATTTCCCAAAATACTTTTCATATATCCAGAATTTTTACTCGGGAATTCGGGATTATTTGAGACACGAACAAGTTTTTGAAATGGCAAAAATGGGGAAAAAAAATCTTTTTATTTTTGATATTGTTTTAATGGCGTTTAATTCGTTTCCCCTCTTGTTTCAAATTTTTTTATTTTATTTTTTTTTTTTATTTTCAATTTTTGTATGTTTTTTGTTGGAAATTGGAAATAACATATATTTTTTTTTGTTTTATACCTGTATACTAAAGTTGAAAATGCATGTAAAAATTCATCTTTTATGGTTGAAATTCTTTTATTTTATTTTTGTGTGGGTAGTAGAATTTGTTTGAAATAAATTGATTTTGACAATAAGTTATGAACTCTTTTAAGGTTGTTACCTATCATACTGAAATCTGTTTATGTATTTACTTTTTTGCCGAAATAATTCTATAATTGAACTTAAAAATTCTTTGTCAAACAATTATTTTTTGTATACTCTTAATAAACTTGAATGATTGCTTTAGAAATTTGCTAAATTTAAAGCAATTTTTACTTATAACTATTTCGTGACAAAGTCAACCATAAACGGATATGCGTACACAAATGGTTAAATGAATATATCGATGGAATAATTATATATGTTTAGGACTTAGAGGTTGAACTCAAAATAATAGTGTGTACAAGGTAGGGGTTAAATGAATCAATAAAATTTTATTCATCATCCATTCTTATAATTACAATATAGGCAATGTTAGTATTTAAGATAATTCAAATCATTAATACGTACTTGTATGAAATTTAAATACGAAAACAGTTTCTTCATAATTTTTCGAACTTAGGCCGACAAATATAAATGTCGTACCGTGCCGTGCCGGCTTAAATCAATTAGGTAATTGTATAATTCTAAATCAAAAATAATTTATTTATTATTTAGCAGCGAATGTTAAAAATCAAAATGAAATTTTCTTTTAAAAATTTTGACAAAATCGTTTTTTTAAAAAAAAAAAGAAATTTTTCCAATTGCATTTCATTTTTAAAATTCTGCGCATGACATTCCATTTCAAACTTCTTTTGTATTTAATTTAGGAAACTCATTATTATAATATTGCATATATGTATGTACATAATATAATATACATATATATATATATTTATAAACACACATATATGTATGCACATACATGTAATATAATTGATAATTCTATAAAATTTCAGAAACAGTGAGTTGAATATCTTTGAATCCAAGAAATGAACAGCTATTTCAAATGATTTAGATATAACAAATGACAAGAATAAAATGTTATTAAGAGTATTATGCATATACATATATACACATTTCTACATAACGAATGTATTTTATACATACATATAAAGAGTTATAGATACCTACTTAATTTCAGACAGAAAAATCCTATAATGCATACATATATTTATTTATGTTAAAAATAATTTTTTTTTAGCGACATGTGTGACATTTTCTTCATTATTTATATGATTATAAATTATTATTGTTATGAATTGAAAAGAGCAACCGAAAAACAATAATTCTGTATACAAAAGTGTACAATAATGAATTATTTGGCTCACACTCACACATTTGTATATGAGCCATAAAACCTTACTTATGCCTTTCCTCTTAACATGTATTAAAAATTAAATATGGCCGCCTTAAAAAAATCCAGTAAAATAGAAAAAAATAAAAAAAAGTCCTTTCTTGTATTGACAAAGGAAATTTTTTTTTGTTTTCGAAAATTTCCTCTAATTTTTTTTTATTCCTAATTGAAATTTTTGTAAAAAATTTATGATTTTAATTTATGCATGTAATGTATGTATGTATGTGTGTATGATAAGAATGTAATTTTGTTAGATATTATAAAAAAGTTTTCATGTTAATCATAAAATTCTTAAATTTTAAATTATAATATGAATCTTTCTTTCTCAGAAAGAATTTTAATTAATTATTGAAATGTAAAAATTTCTTACCTCATATTTTAAACCAGCTAATCTTAACCATGTTTCAACTTTTAAACAATACGGTGACAAAGAAGGTAGTAATGGTGTACGTGAAAATTGATATAAATAGATAACATCCTTTTCGAAATTAGTTTTATGAACTGAGTATTTAGGTGGAGCTTCTGTTTTAGAAGCGGCTGCTTGAGTATTATTTGCTTCGTGATCACCATCTTTTTTTGCATCATTTGCACCATCGGCACCTTCACCGCCACCACCACCACCCCCAGTTCCGGCAGCATCACCAGTTGTTTGATCTTGTTTATCACCAACGGCTACTGCTTCAGCTGTAACTTGTTCTTCTACAGCTGGTTTATCATCAGCGACAGCTGAATTTTGTTGCTGAGTTGCTACTTCGGCTGCCATTATTTTATTGATTTATATTTCTTTTGCCTTATATTTGTTTATTATGTTATTATATTTGAAAACTACCTTTTTTCTTCGGTATAAAAAATTTTTTGTAAAAAAAATTGTTCTTTATTTTCTTTTGATTTTGTCTCTCTGTTTTAAAATTTTAACTATTCAAATTAATCATATACATATATATGTAAATCGTGTATATAAGTAAGTATATATATTCCAAATATTATTTTAAATATTTCAAATATTAATCCTGGTTTCTATACAGTATATGACTGTGTGTGTGAGTATAATTTTTTTTTGTTATTTTAAAAAAATTTATTATAAATTCACGATTTTTAATATTCACACGCTATAAATATTTTGTCACAGAAAATTTTTGGATTTTGGATTTTATTTAACAAAACATAAAAAAAACAAAACAAACAATTATTTTTTAAATTTTTTTTTCTTTTAAATTTTGCTTACATATACAAATGTAAAAAATTTTTTTTTACTTTTTTATTAATTAATTTAATATTAATTTTTTTTTATAAAATTGTAAATTTTATTTATGTTTTAATATTCTATATATTTTTTGTATTAAAAATTTTCCTCTATTCTTTTATTTTTTTTTTATAAATTCTATTTTTTTTAATAATACTTTTTTGTAAAAATTTTTTCCTAGACTTCTGAAAATAAAATTACAAAAAAATTTTTTTTAAATAAAAAATTTTTAATAAATTTAAAATAAAAAATTTTTCTCTTTTAATTATTTTAAAAATATAATTAATTTGGAATTAATTATAAAGTAAAAAAAAATTAGTAAGAAAAAAATAAAAATTTTAATTTAGAAAAAATTTTCAAAAATTGCCGAATAATTTTTTTTTTGTTTCCAGTTAGAGAGAATTTTTTTAATAGAAAAAATATAGGTATTTTTTTTTAATAAAATTTCCCACTCTCAAAATATAGAATTCAATGATTAACTAATTAGAGAATCACTTTTAAATTTTTTTAATTATTTTATTCTTATTTCAAAAATAATTTAATTATTGAAATAATTTTTAATTCTTTATTTAAATTTAATTTTTTTTTTAAATTTTTCATATAAACTATTTATGTGTATGTATGTATTTTTAAATATGTATATTTACTCCAGGTTCATATACACAAAAAACAAAAAAAAAAAACAGAAACAACTCTGGAAAACTGTTAAAACGACGCCGCTTTTTTCCCTGAATTAAAACTTACAGACAAATATATATTTTCTATATATTATAACGATTATACGGACACACAAATATGTGTATATTTTATGTTATACACATAAATGTTTGAATATAATTTTTTTAATACCAAAAATTTATTTTATGAATTTGTATGTATGTATGTACATATTTTAATTAAAAACTGTTTCGTTCTCTATTCCAAAAAATTTTTTTTATTGTTTAAATTAATTATATTTTATATTATACCTTTTCCTATTCGATATTACAATATTACAATAATTTAATAAATTTACACAATTGAAAAATATTTTTTTTTTTGTTAAAGTTACACCGCAGAAAAAGGGAAAGAGATTTTTTTCTTGTTTAATTTAAAAAAAAATTATTTTTGTTATTCTACAAAAAAAATTCCAACTTTTTTTATTTTTTTATTTTCTTCTTCGTATAAAATTTGCGAACTGCTATCTTGCAATGATCACACCAAACTGAATTGAAAATTTTATGATTTCAAAGTGAAAACCAACCACACGAAAAAAATAATAATAAAAAAAGCAAAACAAAAAAAAAAAAGAGAAAAATAAAATAAAAATCTTACCTTGTTTTCCTTCTTTTTTTCTATTTCCAAAATTTTTATTATTTTTATGTGTGGTGAAATTTTCAATTCAACACAGTTTTAAAACAGGGCTTATTATTTAATATTGCTTATATAAAAATAATTTATAAATCTAATAAATTAATTTATAATTTTATAAAACTGAAAAAATATTCATGTTTCATTAAATGTGTGCCTTTATCTGTAAAAGAAATGCTTGGTCTGTATGTATGTATGCATTTATTTGAATAATGAAATTATTAAATAAAATTGCAAGCATAATCAAATATTGAAAAGAAAAGAGTAAAAATATTAAGTTTAAATTCTACCTCATTTTTTATATCATCCATTGTTTTAATGAGATTTAACCATTAGGAGAATTTCTTAATGTCTTTTTCTCCAATATAATAAAATAAACCGTTCCATGAGAGAAAGGTGCATTTCATAAAAAGGAAATTATGTTGTAAATGCGAGCATTAAGGCTTATATAAAATTTTGGAGTACTCGTATTTAATAGATACATAAATAAAAAATATCTCTCTCTTTTATTTTTGTTCTGGAATATTGTCCTTTCCAGTTAGTTGACATAACTGTGAAATAACGAGTAAATAACATAAATATGTATACTTAATGTTGAATAGTGCATATTTTAGGTATAATAAGAATAATAAAGAAAAAAAGAAGAGTGAAGTTACTCGAAATGGCTGAAAACTTGGAATAATAAATTTAATTGAAAAATTTAAAACAACTTCTCTACCTCTACATATTTATATACATATATATTGTATTGGAATATTCCAGGATTTTTTCTTTTTGTCTATAATTTTAAGAATCTTTTCTTTTTATTAAAAACTTCAGAAAAAAAAAAGATTTTCATTAAAATTTTTAAATGTATGTACTAGACTTGTAAAATTGCTCAACATTTTAATAGTAATATCTATAACGTAACACCAGACGTTAAGTTTGACTATTTAATTTTAAAGCAATTTATTCAACATGTAAATATTAAATTGGTCCCTTCTCACCACCAATTTTCTACACAGTAATTTTAAAATTTTGCTATATAATGGGTGATTTTTCATGCGTTTGATTTTTAAATTATTTCAAAAAAAATTGCATTTAATTTTTATTTAAATCGATTAATCTCATCATTGCCATTTATTTTTGAAATATAATTTTGTATACATATTTTTTCTGTTTTCGTCGAATTCTTTTAAAGAAATTTCTCTATTGATTGGTATTACGAACTGAAAGAGAATTTTTGAATAATCTACCTAAACCAATGTACAACAGAGATTATAAAGTGAGTTATGTAAGGAATTCACCTCAGTTCAAATTATTCAATTGCATTACTAAGAGAAGTACATAATAAGAGAATGTGGTGTTCATCACTTTAATTTAAAATTTACAGGAACTTCTATAATATCTTATTTACCAGTATAGAAAATAAAATTTTAATTAGAAAGAGAATAATGAATGAACAAATTTATAAAATATTTCAAAACTGTTTATAACTTATAAAATTTTCCAACTTAAAATTAAATCGAAAAGGGGCCATTTGCAAATTATCAAATCAATTTAATTGCTCCTCCTGAAAGTATGCAATTTTTTTCAATGAAATCATTTTATTAAAATACTATAAAAACAAGAATTTCTAGAACAAAGAAAATTAATCATTAACACACAACTTTAATCTTATTCTCACATTAGTCGGTTCATTAAGTCTGGCTTCTCATCCTTTATGTAAAAAGTATTTAGCATTATGTAGTAAAAATTATTTGGAAAAATTTCCAAAACAATTTGTCTAGCATTTAAAGGAAATGTGGTAAGAACAACATTAAAAGGAAAAATGTAATTTTTAAAACTATTTTTAAAGTTATTTTGTGTAAAATTCACTTAAAATATTTCAAATAATTGGTAAGAAAACTGATAACATAGATAAACACACTATTTTAATTTTTATGGGGTGTCTGGAACTAAAGAAAATGGCAATTCTTGTACATATACTTATGAACATATTTAATCTTTAATTGTTCCGTTCAACAATTTTAATGTTAAAAATTTGTAAAACAATTTTAATATGAAAAAATATTGTGCGAGATCGCGTGAAAGGTGACCTACCTTATCTGTCTGTTGCAATAGCTTTTAAAAATTACGTTTTCTTTTTGAAAATTAAGTAATTAAATACAAATCTTAAGATCTCTTGAAAAACCAATTTATCAATTCTGAAATAAGAAAATTTTATACTACAAAAATTTACACGTTGCAAATTTCATTTTGTCCTGCTGGTTTTCAGATACGTAATAGAAATGGAAATCGAACGTTAGAGATTTTTTCCTTTAGAAGCTTTTATTTTTTATTTTATTCATTTTATTATAGAAAAGAGAATAAAATTTTTCTGAAGAATTCCAAATGGAATAAAAATAAATCCGAAAGAATATTTTCATGGTGTGTACCAGAAGAAAAAATACAAATTTTTCTTTTTGCTCAATCTCATGTTCATTTGCTTGTATATTTGGACATTAAATTTTGTTGTTCTTTAAGAAGGTTTTGGTATATTGTATTTCGTAATAAAAAGTAGTGTTGGTATTTCCTAATAAAGGGAAGAATAAAATAAAAAAATAATTTAATAAAAATATTTTTTTTTTTTAAATTAATTCCGGTACAAATTATGTAATTCTTGTTTTTTGGGATGTTTTTATTTATTATTAAAATTAATTATTAATTATTGGATGGGCTTTCAATTTAAAAACAAATGTGGAATTGTTTAGAACTTAAAAAATTTAAGTTTAATTAAAAGAATTTAAGGCGGCTTTAAATTAACTGAATGATTAACTTTTAATATAGCAGCCTATTACACTTCAATTTAACTAAATAAATTGCAATAATGTTAGGAGTTACGATTTATAAGCTAAAATATGACGTACATTAATACCTATTACTGATATTTTGAAGTCATGACTGATAGCGGTACTGACGTTAGTAAAGAATTCCATCGTGACATGACTTACGCGTAATTTACGACGCGCAATTGATTACTATTTTGGTTTTTTTTAACATTTCTTTAAAATTTGCAAAGTGCATAAGTGATTTTCGATGATCGGGCAAAATTAATGCCAAAGAAAACACTTTAATTTTGAAATTAAAAATTTTTCCGATATATTGAAATAATTTTTAAAGCGTCAATTGCGAAAATTGCTAAATTACAGATGTGTGTTATTTGCAAAATCAGCGAATGACGTGGTTGATTCGTCAAATCTGACACTCAGAGAAATGACCGTATGACAAAACGCAACTTTTACACTAGTTATACTTTTAAATACTCGTAAATAATTTAAATTTAAATCCCATAGTTCTTTGCAGAGTTATTAAAAAATTTGAATTTCTAAAATAAAAGATTCTCTTTGACCTATAAAATATCTTAAAAGCGTTATTTGTTAATATTATTTAAATTTAAATAAAATAAAGCAAAATCTATGTTCAAACGAACCTACGTATGTATGTACATACATAAATAAAGCAAAATTTTTTCTGTGTTTGACATCAATATGATTTTTGGCATTTTTATAATATTTAAATTAATTATATATAAAAAGAAATATATAAACTTCAAATTCGTTTCTATTTTATTTAACAGAAGCTTTGTATAAACCTGCCTACTCATATATCCATGTATATACTCGTACATACATATGTATCTACGATACATACGATAATCTTTATATTGCCTACAAATTATACTCAGCGTCTATTAATTTAAACATGCATAGGCTTTTATCATATTTTTATGCGATAAAAAAAAATACAAATTTATTAATATACTTATGCTATGTGTATGCATATATACATACATACATATTTTATACATTTTGTATTTCAAGTCCAAGGCTCACCCTTTTTATTTTACAAAAAAAAAAAAAATTTTTTTATTTTTTTGGCTTTTTTTCTGAAATATGAATTTTGTAATATGGGATTAAATAAAAAATCGACAGGGAATATGAAAAAAAAAAAAGCAAAAAAATCTTGATATCTTTTGATGGAAGAAAAAATTTGAATGCATTCTAAATTTGTTCTTCCGCTTATCGTATGCTTTCTTGTGAATAAAAAGTCGGGGTTGTGATGAGTTGCACCAATTTCGTATATAGTATAGTGCGAATTCTTGACTAAATCAATATGGCTAAAAAATAATATTTATATCTATAATATTCCGGACCCTTACAGGTAATTGTTTGATTCTATGTTATTACATAGTTGGAGCTGGATCTCTTCAATTCCTTTCGTAATTAATACATTTCAATATTTGAATAATTTTGTAATAAAATAATGTGCTCTTAAGAACTAAAATGCACTTTCCTGGGTTATTTCTAAATGGATATGGCATGGAAAACAATTTTTTTCATATATTTTTTATGAAAAAATTCCAAAAATGCTGTTCGCCAACTGTACATATTTGAATTTCCAATACAAATTCCAAGTGATCCATTATTTTACATGTAAACTTGTATTTTCTATCTAAAAACGTTAACCCTTACATCGGAATAAGTCTATATAATTTACTCCTGTATAGACTGGTATAGTTGAAAGTGTTATAAGATGGAAATCAAAACATAACAACTTAATGATATTGCTATATGCGGCTCGATTTCAGTTTATCGGAGCGGGAATATAAAACTTTTGATAACTCTATATGCCATGTTCGATTCTAGATTGCACTACATTTTGATTGTCTACAAATACAACTGAAAGAAAAAAATAAAAACACTTTTCGTTAAAACAAGTACTTTTCAAAATTAAACAAGAAATATTTTTTTTTTTAATATTTGTGATGAGATAAAAGGCTTTCAAAATTTTATTTGCACTTATTTGAATATCAAAAAAAAAA